ATAAAAATAAAAAAGTAAAAAAAAAACAGTATCGATTCGCCCGATACACCGATAGGGACGTATCGGGCGTATCGATATTTTGAACCTTACCATAGAGAAGTTTTTCAAAGGTTTGTACTCAAAAGATGGGTCCTGTAGGATTCCTTTGAATAACTGGGAGGGACCTAAGTTGTCGGAGAACAAAAAGTTGTGGCTAGAAAGAAGCTTTGAAGAGCAAGAAATTAAGGAAGCAACGTTTAAGATGGATGGTGATAAAGCTCCTGGTCCAGATGGATTCCCTATCCTTTTCTTTCAATTGTGTTGGGATACAATTAAGTCTGATCTGTTGGAGGTGTTTTCAGATTTCTACATTTCAGTCATCATGATTAAAGGCAACAACTCGACCTTTATCACTCTAGTTCCAAAGAAAGAGGGGACCTTGGAAGTAAAAGATTTCAAACCTATCAGTTTGGTGGGGAGCTTATACAAAATTGTGGCTAAAGTTCTGGCGACTAGACTAAAGGAGGTGCTGAAAGATTTAATTTCAAGCAACCAATTTGCCTTTGTGAAAGGGAGACAAATTATTGACAGTATACTTGTGGCAAACGAATGTGTAGAAGAAAGAAGACAGAGTGGCAAGGCAAGGGTAGTAATCAAGCTGGATCTAGAAAAGGCCTACAATAAAGTGAATTGGGACTGCTAATTGGAGATTCTAAACCTGAGAGGCTTTGGAAGGAGATGGGTGAGGTGGATTAGAGAGTGTATAAGTTCTGCTTGGTTTTCAATCCTAATAAATGGAGAGACGACTGGCTATTTTAATGCAGACAGGGGCCTGAGACAAGGGTGCCCTCTCTCCCCCCTACTTTGATGTTTGCAGATGACATAATCTTGTTCTTGGAGGCGGATTGGGAAAACATTTCCAACCTAAAAAGGGTATTAAATATTTTTGAGCTGGTGACTGGGCTTAGAATTAACTTCAACAAAAGCAGTATTGTAGGCATAAATGTAAATGGCTCTCTGCTAGAAAGGTTCAAGGAGCTGTTAGGTTGTAAATTGGAGAAACTTCCTATCACCTATTTGGGAATGCCTCTTGGTGGGAATCCAAGGAGTCAAAGTTTTTGGGATCCAGTGGTAGAAAAACGCGAGAGAAGACTGGCTACATGAAAGAAAAGCTACCTGTCAAAAGGGAGTAGACTCACACTTATCAAGGCTTCCCTTGCCGATTTGCCAACCTATTACTTGTCGGTTTTCAGTATCCCGGGCAAAGTAAAAAGAAAGATTGAGAAGCTTCAGCGGGATTTCCTATGGGAAGGAGGCGGCAAAAAGAAGGGTCATCTAGTTTCATGGAATCAGGTGTATAAGCCCAAGAACCTTGGTGGTTTGGGGCTAGGACGTATCAAAGAAAGGAACCTAGCTCTGCTTGGAAAGTGGTTGTGGAGGTTCCCCTTGGGGACGGAAAAGTTGTGTACAAAAATCATTAAGAGCAAGTACGGAAGACACGCCAATGGTTGGGATAGCAAGGTCCACCCAAACTGAGTTAAAGCCTCTAACCATTGGGAAGGTATTTCTTCTGTTTATGACCTCTTTATTGATTCTATAAGATACCAGGTGGGAAATGGGAATAGAACCAAATTCTGGACTGATTTATGGTGGGGAGAGGACACCCTTGCAAAGCCACGGTAGCCTATAGCCTCAGTCACTCTCCCTCAGGAATCAGTTGGAATCTGAACCTTAGAAGGCCTCTAAGAGAGATAGAGCTTGCTGAAATAGCAAACTTGCTAAACTCTCTAAGTGAGGTTTACATCTCCCCGGCCTCCCCTGACCAAAGGATCTGGAAACTTAACCCTGCCAGCAAGTTCTAAACTAACTCCTTTTTTAAGGCTCTAGTTTCAGAAGATCAGATCACTCCCTTCCCGGTTAAGAACGTTTGGAGACCACATCCCCCTAGAGTTTCTTTCTTTGTCTGGGAAGCCTGCTTGAAGAAAATAAATACTTGTGATTTAATACAAAAAAAAAGCTTAGAGGAAGGTTATGTATCTCCCCTCATGTCTGTCCTCTCTGCCTTGGTGATGGTGAAACAGCTAATCACACTCTTCTCCACTGCCCTGTCACTAGGAAGGTTTGGTGTTTCTTCCTAAACTTAGTTGGTTACAACTGGGTTTTCCCTGAGAAGGTAGTGGACCTCCTGTGGCAGTGGAAAGGCAAAGGTCTAGGAAAAAGAGGAAGGGTATATTGGAGTACAGTGACACATGCAGTCCTTTGGGGTATTTGGGAAGAAAGGAACAACAGAACCTTTGAAAACAAATTCAGAAATGTGGAAGACCTAATCTCTTACATAACTTTCCTCTGTAACCTTTGGGTGGTTAATTCTGAAGCTTTCAAAGGTCTGTCTCTAAATGACCTCCAAAGTAACCTTCCAGCCATCCCGCAATCCTCTCCTAGATCTGAATCGACCATGAGAAGCCTTATTAGGAAAGAAGGTGGGATGATCCTACACTTTGATGGTAGTGCCCGAGGATCTACCAGCCAAGCAGGAATTGGTGGTGTCTTCTGTGGGGAGAGGGCGATCAGCTGGGCTTATAGTGGTCCGATTGGGAGAGCTGATGCTACAAAAGCACAGGTCTTGTCAGCACTTACAGGAATTCGGCTTGCTAAACAGCTGGGCTTTTGCTCCTTAACTATAAAAGGGGACTCTACAAATACGATAGCCAGGCTAAGGGAGAAGGAAGGAGGGCCTTGGAGACTTGCTCATCTGCTAGCTGAAGCTCGAGATATCTTAAGAGTCATTGAATGTAAATCTGATCTGGATTCCTAGGGAGCAAAACACTGTTGCAGACAGCCTTGCAAAATCAGGGGTTTCTAGGGAAAGTTTGTATAGTGACTTCTGCTTACCTCTATAATTCTGCCTCAGCTTCTTTAGCTTGCAGTACATTTTCTCATGTACTTGTTCCTGTTTTAATTTAATAAAAGTTACCTTTGCTCAAAAAAAAAAAGAATTTATTGGTAGGGACGGTGAATATTGATCCAGGTACATACCATTTTCAAAGTTGGCATGAACCAAGAACAGTGGCACCCTCCCTCTGCCCCTTCAACATTGTGTGTGACTGTGTGTGTGTGTGTGTGCATGAACGTGCACATATAAGAGCACACAAAACAATGGACACTTGACATGACATGTGCACTTCTCTCTTTGCCTCCTTCCCTGTATGAAGGAAAAAGGGATTTGGCCTAGGGGTGACCATTCCTAGCCCAGCCCAGAAGCCTGGTCTTGCCCTGCCTGCTAATTTCCAGGCCTGGGACTAGGTTTTGTGTCCAGGTCTCCACCCAATATTTTTAAGCCAGACCCTGCCCAGAATTTTATGTGTCCATGGGCCTGGGCCTAGGTTAACCCCCTGATACCATCCACTAGGTGCTAAGCCCAGGTCCATCTATGATCACACCTAGATTGGCCCCTGCATCATCCCTTGATCTTCATTTGTGAAATAGGGGCTTGACCCCCTTTTATTTTTTACTTTTCATTGATCATTTAACTATTTTATAAATATCAGTCTACTTATAATTTGCTTCTCAACTTATCAGTCATAACAAGTCCTTTTTTGTCATTATTTCCATGTAGGAAACCCAATTGGACATGAACTAACCATCATGATGCTTTTTAGGGTATGAAGATTTCATGTGTACTGGTTCAGTAGGAACTCCTGAATCCTGATCCTCAAAGCACGTATGTAATATGCAGTCAAGGCATTCTCCTGTTGCCTATCTTAGCACCATCACAATTGTCATTTCTAAAGAGATATGTCAAGAAATAAGAAACATTCTGAAACTACATCAAGAACTAATCAAGAGCCTTTCAAAAATTGCATGTAATAGCAAGACCAAGGAGAAATCAGATCGGGTTGCAAGAAACAGAAGGGCAGGGAAAGATCTTAGACACTTATTTTGATTGATAATAAAACTTTATTGCTATTTAAGAATGAAGAATGTATTTTGCAAGGTATAAAGTTCCCCACTTATAGGTCATATTGTAATGTCTATTCCTTTATGGCATTAATTACAAATGAGCCCAAAACAATTGTTCCCCATGAACCCCTTGTCTAGCCCACTTATAGGTCTACTATTTAAGATCTTAAACACTTCTCCTGACTGTATTTCAACTTCAAGAAAAGAAAATAAAAAAGAATATTGGCTAATGGCTACTATATGACAAGTTGATCCCACAAACTAACACTGAACAAAACACTCTTAAACACTAATACTAGGTCCATCAATGCTTAAAAGGAAATAATTAAAACACTCTTAAACACTACTATATAGAACTTCACAGAAATTATAAAAGTAAAACAGCCATTGAAAATTCAGATCTAAGCAGATTTTGATTTAGATTTTTTCAGTACCTATCAAAAAAAAAAGATTTTTTGATCTGACTTAAACTACACTCCTAGCTAACAAGCCTTAGTTGGTTGATGAGGTGGCCGGCCTCACTTCCATATTCCCTAAATTGTCTATTCAATCTTTCTTGATAGCTGGGAATGAGGCCATAGCTATTTACAGTCACTCTTCTTCAATTTCAGATCTAACCTCCCAATGCTTAAAAAGCATATCATATTTGGTCTAACCATACACACACTACTGCATCATTTTGGCGTCTTTGAGAGTAGAAACAAATGTGCCATGGTGTCAGTCTATAGCACACTTAACTAGGGAAAAAACTGTAGAGCCGGTTATTTTAGTGCCCCCACTCCCAATGAAAACTCTTATCTTATACATCATTCTGAGACGGTGAGACTTCCCCTCTTGATAGAAATAGAAATTTTGTTATTCAAAAAGCAAATATACAATTAATGATTTTTTGGCTTATACTTAAGGAAATCTTGAATATATAAACACATCCATGCTGAGAGTGTAACCAGTTACAAATAGAAATTCATGAAAAGAAAAAGTTTCTTAGCCACTAAGTTGCAGAAGTTCTCACAAAGCAAATATCACAACTAACGTAAATATATAAGATGGTTTTTTATTACCTTCTCTGTTGTGAGTATGAACAGGAGCATGGTCAGCAGTTGAAGGTCTTTTATCCACCAAAAGCTGCAGCAAAATATATTCATGGGAGTTAAGAATATGGTGAAATAAGTAACACAACAACATGAGACAAAAACCATGAGATATCTAATTCAGGTTGCATAGCAAGAAATCCTAGAAGTTCTTATACAGCACATCGTCACCAGAAATTACGATAATACTACACACATAAGAATCAACAAGATTAGCTAAATTAGAAAATATAAATCCCCACCAGGAAAAATCCAACAACAATAATAAATAAAACTTGACAACAGAAACAATTATAGATTGATAAAAGCAAACAGGCTCTTTTTTTTGTGTGTGTGTGTGCCAATGGTTGATTAGTCACCATAGTATATTTGGAACATACAATGGAAACAACAATAATCATGATGCACCACTAATTAGAAATTTGGTATTAAGATGTCAAATATTGACATAGTCCAAAGTTGAAGTGAAACATCCATGGAGATAGTAACCTCTATACCAACACAGAATGGCAATTCTGCCTGTTTCTCTTTTGAATCTGTTGAAGCATCTTTTCCTTCCAAGTATACAGAATAACCAACACAAGCATACTTGAAATCTGTAAGACCACGCCCCTCTTTAGAAGCTTCCATTTCAGATTCTCCCACAATGTAGCCAGGCACTGTTCATAAACTTCAAAAATCAGGAAATGGTAGTTGGAAATATATTGGGTGGATAAGTAACAGATCAAAGGGATTTGGTTGATAAAGAAAGAAAAGAAGTACAACTGCCTAGCAAAGTTGCAGTAGATAAGTTTTCCCATAGAAAAAAAATTAATTAGGAAAAGGGTATCCTACAACGTAAGATGCATACTGGTACACAAGTAAATAATTCAGTAGCAACTACACTTCAAAATGAAACACTGAAGAATGAATCAAATTATTTATCATCAAAAATTAGCAAAGCTTTGTATTATTCCCCATTTCTTTGTCACTAACCAACTCTATAAGAAATTATAATTTTCAGAATGCTTTTCCCATTTAGATTTTAGTAGAAATGTGAAGCTTAAGATATTGAAATTGAAAGTTGTATGATGTCTAAATTGAAAGACCAGATAAGTCAATGTTAAACTAGTCAGTGGGTGAAGAAAGGTATTGAGCCCAGGTGTATGGCATCAAAAAGCATAGATTTCTAAAATATTCTTAACAAAATACTTGACAAAATCATACAATGGCCTTTCAGTTCAGAACTTGAAAAAAAAAATCCAAAAATTGAAGCAGAAAATGACTTGAGGAATGTTGATTCAGGAACTGATCAATAGCGCATCTTTCTGGTAGGTTAAATACATAATAGGTAATAAACTAAATTGCAACAGATTAAGTCATCTGCCAAAAGCAGTAGCCTCCTGAAAGGAAATTTGACCCTGTGAAATACAGATTGCTCAGCATCCACGTGTAGGAACTCAAAACGAACACCAGCAGCACTAAACTAGCTATACCATGGCAATTTGAAAACACCACAAAATTACAAGGCAGACGCCCCACCACCAGATACCCAAATGAGCAATTAAGCTTCTTCACAACTCTTTTGTTTCTCTTAAAGAGAACCTTAGGGCTCAAGGATAACTGTTTCTAATAAAACCATAAAACAATCACTTGGAAGTCCTCTTACACTTTTTTTTTTTTGATAAGTGAAGTTCTCTTCAACTTTAAAATTATGCCATCCGATAGAGAAGGCTATCTTTAACCCTTGGAGGAGTGCTGACAATTTAGCCCTTCAGGATGTTCCTTCACCAACAGGACCTTAGTAACTAAGCAGAATATTTCCAGCATGATCTCTAAAGATCCCAAGTTCCAGAAGAACCAGGTTATCCAAACAGCACCTGTCAGAGTTCAGTTTCATGCTGCATACTTCCAGAGCTATCCAAGTTGTTATTCCCACCTGTCTTATGGGAGCAAAACTAGCAAGTATCTGCCAACCTGTCAAAAGAATACATTGAGACTCCTATGAATTCCTCTTCTCTAATCATCACCAAGTATAAACTCCTGCAGTGGTCAAGTTGTTCATCATATTAACTTCTTGTTCTTTGTCTTCAAAAAGTACAGCATTTTGTTCACCCCAAATCATAATCATCATCTAAGCCTTATCCCAACTATATGGGGTCGGCAACATGAATCCTGTTTTTCCAGTCCGTTCTGTTTAATACCATATTCGTTGTTAAATTATGAGCGCTTAAATCATTTCTTACTACTTTGGTCCATGTCCTTTTTGGTCTGTCCCTAGCCCTCCTAGCCACCTCAACTTGCAATAGATCACTTCTTAGTGCAGTCATTGGTCTTTTATGCACGTGAACAAACCATCTTATTCTACTTTCTCTCATTTTTAGCACCTATTGGAGCTACTCCTAGGTTCCTTCAAATGACTTCAGTTATGGCCCAAACCTTTCTAGTTTTTTTTTTTTTTTTGAGAAAAGGTGAGGTAAAATTTTATTAATAGAACAGCAAATTACAACAGAGGTCCCCAAAGACAAGGAGCCAAACACACTAGATCAAACTGCATTATATCATAACTCAAGAAGGTCCCTAGATCTCAACTGAGAGCTGAGGACTGAGTTTTGAAGACCCTTGACCACAGCAACCCAGTTTTGAAGATCCTTTCTAGTTTTTCAACTCATTCATCTCAACATACACATTTTGTTCACCCCAAATACTCCAAAAAAAAGCAGCTGTAGTACAATTACTACATGAGTTTTTCCCTTGTCAGTATTGGAACCAAATAGGCTAAAAACAAATACAGAATATCCAGTGGGGGATGCATCATCAAAATTGTTCGGTTGTCTAGAAAGTATTTAAGGAAAAATTTCAAATCTGGACTGGTATAATCTCAGAAAAATAACCATTTTCTAGTTAAATTTTCAAAATGGACTTCTAGCAAGTACTGCCAATGTTATCTCTCACTTCCACTCATCTTTTGACTAAATTTCTAGTGCTTCAGCAAGATCACCTATTAACTGAGGCAGAAAAACATTAGTGAAGAGAGTAAAAGAGGATTGAATTAGAAGACAACAACACCCTTACAGAGAAAGGGGTTTTTGAGGCTAACTGCTGACAAGGGAAAGGGAACATTTTTTTTATCAATAAGGGAAAGGGAACATTAAATGAATTATTTCAGAACGTAAGGGATAAAGGCCTAGAAGGGGATGCAGGGAAATATAAATCTGCTGCTAGAGGTCCACAGAAAGGTTAGTGTGGTAGTCTGCTTCTATATAGCTCAGATGGTGTTTTTGCTTGTGGTCTTTCTCTTGGTAGCTGAGCTACAAAGCTGGGACACCTTGGGCTATGCCACCATTGTTCTGTCATGAACTGTTGTTTGCAGTAGCAATAAATGTTCTCTTTGCATTTGTGTGGGGGTAGTGCCTTAGCTGAACTTGGGGATTTCTGCTATCTCTTTGTACGGTTGCAGAAGGCCATTATAGTTTTGGGGGAGGGGCTCAATGTGTCTCCTTTATCTCCTTGTATTTCTTTATCTCATTTTGAGCATCTGCAGCCCTTCTACATATCAAATATACTTCTGTTACTAAACAAAAAAAAAATCAAGTTACAGAAAATTTTTGGAATTTAAGAGAAATCCTGAAATCTACTTTTATCAGGACTGTTGGGAGTTCCTAAAGTTGGACACTCAAAAGGTGTTTAATGAGTTTTTTGGAAGAGGTGTGATTAACCTGGGGGTGAATTCTACTTTTTATTGCTCTTATTCCTAAGAAGCCGGATGCAATTCACCCAAGTGATTTTAGACCCATCAGTTTGGTGAATAGCCTCTATGAGATAATTGCCAAGGTTCTCTCCCGAAAATTTAGAGAAGTGCTTCCTTCCTTAATATCTTTGAATCAAGGGGCTTTAGTTGGGGATATACAAATCATTGATCAAATCCTTACAGCCAATGAAAGCTTGGAGGACTACAGAAGGAATGGAAAGAAAGGGGTAGTGTGTAAACTTGATTTGGAAAAGGTGTATGATCTGGTGGAATGGTCCTTCCTTTTGGAGGTTTTAAGGAACTTTGGATTTGGTGAGAAGTGGTGTAAGTGGATTGAGGGTTGTCTTGATCTTGTCATTATTCAGTCCTGGTGAATGGAACAGTGGTGGATCATTTCCCAGCCATCAAAGGTATTAAACAAGGTGACCCTCTCACCCCTTTCCTGTTTCCTATGATTGTGGAGGTACTTAGGAAGCTAATTGACAGAGCTGATGTATCTTCAGTTTGCTGATGATACCATTTTGTTTTGTGAATGGGATGATATTAGCAGGGTTAGGAATCTGAAGCTGGTAGTACAGTTATCAGAAAGGGTGTCAAATCTCAAAATAAATTTCAGCAAGAGTTGTGTGGTGGGGGGTCAACATGAGTGAGATAGAGATACAGGAATATGCTTCCATATTGGGATGTGAGATTTCTCAGTGGCCAATGAAATATCTGGGACTCCCTTGGGCTATTTTTTAATCTTCTTTCATTGTAATTTTCTGATGGGGAGATAAGACTCTTTATCTTCCCCTTTTTTGTACTTAAAGCTTCTTAATTCTTGATAAAGTTTCTGTTATCGATAAAAAAAAAATAACTCTAGAAATACTAGTTTTTGGAACCCTGTGGTAGACAGATTTACCAAAAGGTTGGCCACATGGAACAAAAATTACCTTTCCTTGGGAGGGAGAATCACTTTGATTAGGTTCACTTTGACAAACTTACCTGTGTATTTTCTCTCTGTATTTAGAATTCCAGTGGGAGTGGGCAGAAGAATAGAAAATTTGATGAGGGACTTTTTGTGGGAGCTAGGGTAGGAGAAGAAGGACCATAGAGTCAATTGGGAGATTGTTTGTAGAAGCAGAAAGAATGGGGGTTTAGGTCTTGGGAATGTCCAAACGAGGAATCAAGGTCTTGGGAATGTCCAAACGAGGAATCAAGGTCTTGGGAATGTCTTCACAGGCTAGGGCTACAAACAGTATCCATTTGTCCAGGTTCAATCTGATTAAGGTAATCCAAATCAGAGATGTTTAAAATGGGATTAAATATGGATCCACCGAGTTTAATACAAATCTGACTATTACAATATATATGCATATATCCATATACAATTGACATATTTTGTTAGCAAAGTCAATTTAAGAGTTGAATATTTTACTCAAGGATTATAGGCTATTCACATGAGTCATGAAACACAATACCAAAGCCATTTCAAGTCCACTTTAATATGAATGTACAATACATTAATAGAGACCAAACATTTTCAGTAAATTCCCTTCTAAAGCTATGTCATCAAATAGAGACCAAATATTTTTCACTAAACTTCCTTCCATCCCTATCATTTTTAAAAGAAACTTTCCTCTTTTGAAAAATGAAATACTCATCCATGATCCATGTCAGAAGAAAACTCCTAATAGAGAAAACAAGGATCGGGAAAAACGTCCCTGATTCCTCCAGATCCTCATATTATGCAGTGAGAAAATAGATATTGATACTAGACCTGACAATTGTCCCAATTCTTTCTTAAACAACATGCACATACCATGAATCAGCTTTCATGAATGTAGTAGTGGACAGATCATCTTATTTGAACTGCTGCATAAGCCAAGACTTCTAACAGTCATGTGTCAACAGACAAGACCACTCAATTTTCAATGATCAACAGAGAGAATGTACGAGTACAATCTCATATCATCTTGCAGAAATAAAAAATTATTCCTCCACCAACATAAACCAAGAAGAAAATGAGGTTGTATCTTCCTAAAGTTTAATGAATGTTCTACTAATGCTACTGATCAATATTGTATGCAAAGAATGTAAATAAGACTAAAACTTATCAAAATGAATGTAAATAAGAATAAAAAAAGAAAATAGGATGCTAGAACAGAGTTATATTCACAGTCTGTGCAACACTTCTTGGGTATAATGTCAGGTGTACCACATAGAAGGTCCATTGGTCACCCTTTTGTGCAATACACTCCTCACTAATATACTGATTTGTTCTGAAAAGTATGTAGTACAACCAAATCCCATCTTACAAAGCGACTGCAGTAGATCTAAAGGAAAGGAGCAACTAAGCTGTTTATTGAGGCTAGCGGCTGATCATCGGTGAGAGAATTATTTATGACTTTCTGTTCTTTTAACAGAGAACTAACTCTGAGACCCTCTTGTTTACAGCAGCACCGGCAGTTCTTTACGCATTAGTGAATACAACCAATGTATGTATAGATTCAGATCATCTTGGCGAATAAAATAACAAGTTATAATCCCTCAATAAACATAGAAAAAAGGAACAGAGAAGCATGCCTTTACATTCAAAACCACACCATCATTAAATCTACAATTCGGAACAAACCGCTTTGACGTATCTAAGGAAAATAAAGTAGATCAAACTATAACAAAAATTTTTCCGGGAAAAAAAAGCACAATCATCAATAGGATGCATGAATTAACAAGACAAAAAAAGGCACTGAACCACATAAATGTGAGAAAGAAAGTTACAATCTTTACATACCAGGAAATCTTCAATCTCTTTTTAGCCGATCAAATAGACAGAAAAAGAACATCAGGAAAATGGAAAAACCCCAATTCCTAAAAACACCAAAAAAAGGAGGGAGAGAGAGAGACCTTGTTGAAGAGTTCTGCTAACGCCGACACAGCGAGGATTGCGAGATTTCGATTTAAGAATCGACGAGTAATAGAGACATCCTTTGCATGACTTTCCCTTCATTCCCTTTGCCTGGATTTGGTTTTGGTCACCTTCGTCTTCCTTACCCACCGCCATCGCTTTTCAAGCTGCTTCGTTCTCTCTCTGTCTCTCCGCCTATCTGGCTTCGTTGGGCAAATTATACGATCCTATCTCTTGTTCTGATGGAGTACCTCCGCAGCTACTGCCAAAATTTTGCCATTGGAGGGGGGAAATGGTCTGGACTCTGGATGTCACCTGAAAACTGGAAGGGGTCCGAATCCGATTAATCTTATTTTATTTAGAGAATATCACATTAAGGCCTCATTTCTATCTAGGTCTCCATTGTATTTTTCGTACATCTATTTTACATTTTTACCTCTCTGCCGGTTTAAGCTGAGAAACTCGTATACACGTCGTCTCCTTAGAGGATGTTCGACAACATTAACAAAATTTTATATTTTTGTCAAATGTATTTAAAGAAAGGTTTTAAAAATCGGATCGGACACGGAATCGTTTTTGGGACCGGTTATTGGGTCGAATCATCTGTTTGTCTACTTTTTTAAATGGATGGTCTGTTCTGATTAAAAAAAAAAACAAAAAATTAAAAATTATACCTCTTGTAAATAAAAATTAGGTTCACTAAATGAGCTTGCTGATGAAGGGGTAGCAGATTTATGCCTCTTGCTTATTAGAGACCAGAATTTTTCTTTTCCACTACCGATACTAGTTTTAGAAGTGGAATATGCACTTGTACAAGTTGTAGATTTCTTATTCCATGTTATTTTCGTATTCATATAAATTATATATTTTAAATAATAAACTATTAATTTCTTCTTTTTTATTTATAACTTCAATATTCATATTTACGCAATATGTTTCAAGTAAAATATCTAAACCATCTTTCATAATCTTATGATCTAATATTGTAGCTAAGCAATAAATATGAGAAATGTTCGCCCAATACTTTTTGAATTTATTTTACATTATTTCAACAATACATTTAAATTGTGAATCATTTCTATAATTTGTAAAACAATCACTAATCATCGTTAATTGATAAGCTAAATTACAACTATTTGGGTAATAAATACCCGATAATTCATTAGTTGCATCATATAAATATTTTAAAAAATCTTTTATACAAATTGTCATTTACCACTCTTTCTCAAATATAATATCATCTGACATTTTTGCATTATAAAAATCACTAAGAATTTGCTTGTAATAAATACAACTTTCTAACATAGTATAAGTAGAATTACATATATGTTTAACATTCAATACAAAATGTTTATATTTTAAACTATAATTTTGACATAAATATTTAAATTATTGTTTTCTTGCTCCAAAATTTTTAATATATATAATACAATTTATAATTTTAGAAATATGATTAGAAATAACACTTAGAGAATATTGAATACATAAATTCAGGATATAATATGCACATATGATATGAAATAATTTACCATTTAAATATGATTTCAATTAAGATTTTAAAATATTTATTGTTGAACCATTATAACTAGCATTTTCAAAACTAATAGAAAATAGTTTATTGTAAATTCCATAAGCATGTAAAGTATTTAAAATACTTGCAGCATTAGTTAGGCCATTTAAGCCTAGTAAAACTTATAATTCTTTTTTGTAAAAGCCAGTTTTTATCAATAAAATGACTAATAACACAAATATAAATTATATTAAATTTAGAGGTCCAAATATTAGAAGTAATTGTACCTTTAGAATTAAGAGTTTATAAAATACAAATTAATTTTTGTTTTTATGAAGATTTTTTTTTACGTAAAATTCTTTCTACTTTAGTATATTAAACTAATGAAAATAGTTATTTACCATGTACAGTATATTTTGCTAACTATTGCCTTATTTTTTCTTATAAATATTTAAATGTACCAAAAAAACCCACACCCAAATTGTGTTTGTGTATGTTGTTTATTTCCCTTATTCTTCCTCTTCTTTCTCATGGGAGAGCAAATGTTTGCCCAAGTGGTCAATACCACCCTTGCTACAATAGCTAAAGTCTTTCCTACATTTTTAGCAAATGACTTTTTTTCCCTTCCCTTCAACCTCCTATACTTTAAATATTTTTTCAAACCGAGCTAATCAATTTAGTTGCCTTCTTTTTCTTTCCCTTAGTATTGCTAGGGGTGTTAACCGAACTGTATGCTTTTTTTTTTTTGTAATCGAACCGGTACTACTGATTGGCCAGTTCGGTTCGTCATTTTTTTGGTTTTTTTGTTTTTACAATATATATTATAAAAATAAATATGTATATATACAATATGCATATTTATTAATATATAATATACATAAAATACATAGAAAGTATATAGAAATATATGTATACCGGTCGGCTCTATTAACCATCGGTTTCCTATATTGGTTAACCGAACCCGACCGATACCTTCGTTTTTAAAAACACCAAACCAATCGTTTCGATTAACCAAATATTCGGTTCAGTTTCGGTTGGTTCGGTTCATTTTTTTTTCACTCCTAAGTATCAGTACTAGGGGTGGAAATTCCACCAATATCAATAACATCCATATTGGTGCTAACACTATCATCTTGCGATAGAATATCGTCAGCGTTGAACATATTGATGTTGGGAATTTGGTTTTGGGAGGAGCAGGCATTTTTAAATTCAAAAAAGATAAAAATTAATTTGATTGAACTTACCCGGATTGCCAGTTCGAAATCTCAACTTGATTTCAATGGTTAAAGCCTCTAAACCTCTCAAACTGCTAACTTGAGATTCTTGAGCAAGTCTTCTTTTGTTTAGAATTGGAGAGTAGAGAGAGTATGATAATGTATGAGAGATTGAGGGAGTATGAAAAGAAAATTGTTGAATTGGTGTGATGAGAATGGTGGATGATAGGGCTATTTATAGGAATTGAAAATAATTCAATTGCACAAAATACATTAAAAAACTAGTATTTTTAGTTATTGAGAGGGGTACTTTCATCATTATAAAGTTATTTATCATTTTACCTAAATGCCCTCAAACTAGTTGCTATATAGCTATTGGGGGGCATTGTTGTCATTTTCCTCCCCATAAAGCCAAAATACATAAATACCCTCTATATAATTTTTGTATAGCTGTTGAGGGGGTACTTTTGTAAAAAAAGAAACACTAAAAAAGCTTAAACTAGCTGTTGGGAGAGGTACCCTAATGGCTAGTTTCTCGGGCGGGCCATGCTCGGCTCAATCCATGTTGGGCCGGGCCATGCTGACACACGGGTTGCGGGTGGTGTCATGCCATATCGACCCATAGACCTAAAACCCCAAACACGGCATGGCCACATAATCATATTGTGCCTGGCACTATCCACATTTTGTCATATTGAGTCGTGACAAACCGACTAAAAATCATGCCGGGCCGCGAGCGGCACATCCTGTTTTACAATTTTAGGGTAAAGCAACCCCAAAGGTCAGCGGCAGAGCCAGCCTATGGCCAATAAATTCCCCACTTAAACTACACTTCTCCCTGTATATTCCACCCCCTCCCTCAACACCCCACCCCAATGGTTAGCCCCCAAATTAAAGCCCCTCCATGTTTATAGTTGATTTGGTGAATGAAGCGTTGAAATTAAACCATATAATAGTTAAACTGTTTGCTTGGATAACCGTCAAAGGCTGATAATTAATTTTTATAATTTAAATATTTTGTTATACCTATTATGATATCATAAACGGATCCACTCAAACTCGATAATTGGACTGCTAAATAATAGTAATTTTCAATAATGTAATTATTGAAGTTACAAAAAAATAATAAGAAAATGATTGATAATTATAAATAATTATTTTAATTACAAAAAAAATTTTGGACACTGATGTTCTCAACAATAATTTTTAATAATTTAAAAATTAAAATTACATAAAATAATAAGAAAATGATTGATAATTATCAAAATAATTATTTTGAGTATTACTGGTGTTATTATTTAATTATCAATGAGTCAAAAATATTACAATAATTAAATAACTATAATTTTCAACAATAACAATAATATAATCTATCTATCTATCTATACTAAAGTAGAGTTTGTCATGTCAGCAGTCCTCTCCTTGCTTAATTACCCAAACTGAGCAATTCTAGAGGGGTGCAAGATTCCATCTAGAAGTACTAGGATTTGCCACATAACATGTCTTATCTCCTTTTCCTCCTTTCATTTTTATTAGAAAACTAACTATCTCCCATTTTCTCCTAAATTATCTCTATCTCTCCCTAATTCCTATTTATCTCATAAATTATCTCTAATTCCTATTTATTCTCTTCCTCAGTTTTCATCTATATCTATTTAAGAAAGTTTTAATTAAAATATTTAACAATTGTTTAAATATTATCATGAAATTATGTTAATAGCTTTAAAATATTTATTAAAAACACAAAAATAATTATAATAGGTTTAATAATATTCATATTATTAATAATTTTATATTTTTATGAGATTCATAATGAAATTATAATTTTATGGGTTACTTAATTAATTTAATAACTAAATAATATTTAAAAAATACAAATAAAAATTATTTAAATAGAAAAATATTAATAATAGCTAAATAATTATGCAACAAAATATTTAAAATTACATAATAACTTAAAAAAATAAAACTTAAATAACAACAAAGATTAAATATTTAAATAATAAAATATTTAACATAACTTTTGAATTATACTAGATTTCATAACTTTTGAATTAATAATACTTTTATATTTTACAAAATTAATAATGAAATTATGTAATAATAGTATAAATTATAATTTTATGGATTATTAAATTTCATAAATAATTAATATTTTAAAATTTTAAATAATGACATTATTTAAATAATTAAATAATATTATAAATATCTAATTTCAAATACTTTAAATATCAAAATATTAATAACTAAATCATATCTTATATATTATTTAAAAAACAAAAAAATAGACTAAATAACAAGATTATGTTACAACTTTAAAAAAGCTATCAAAAGCACAAAAGTAATTATAACTAGTGGGGCCCATGCGATGCACAAGATGCAACACCCCTCCCTGTCCCTCGCCCCTGTATTCAAGATGCTCTACCCCATCCCTGCCTCGTCCTCGGTGGCGGGGCAGGTTAGAGATGAGACACGCATTCCCCATCAGGGATGTGGAATCTCAATTTTTCCCCATCCCGAGACAACCACCTAAAAATCTAATTTGTGTATATTTTACAAATATGATTATGAGAATTTGGGGTATTTTAGGAATTGGATTATGACAATTTGGGGGTAT